TCCATTGGCAGCAGAGGGCGGGTGCATTAGTAAGTTGAGGTGCATGCAGGCTCTGTGCAGTATTGGCACAGCTGCAGAATCTGTCATGATTAACTGCATGCTTCTCTGCGTTGCATGTTGCTTGCCCTAATATAAAGTACAGTGTGTATTCAAAGCATAGCAGCTAAAGTGATTGTTGAGAGCTGGGAAAACCTCAGAGAAAACAAAATTGTGATTTGTTGCAAGAGGAAAGAGTTTCATTGAGAATTTAGTATTTGCAACTACTTTTTATGTGTCTGCTCTGATACCGTGTGTTAGAATGGGCACAGTGTAAAGACTCAGGTCGGTCATTTTGTTGCTCACAAGCAAAAACACGCCTGATTGGCCGTTATCATAGTTAGTGTGTAGCCTTCATGGTGCTATGTTCTAGATAAATCCATTAAAATCTCCGAGATACAGTATCTTTGCTGGGTTAGCAGTTATCACTTCACAGACTACAAACATGTTGCGACTTTTTTTAAATATAGCTGTTAATCATGCATTTCCAGCTGGCAAAGTGGGGAGTAAATGCTAACATTTCATGCTTGCCAGATATATTTATTCAAGCATTACAATTAATTGGCATGTCTCTTTATTTTCAGCACTGATCGAACTCTGACAGAGGAGATTCTTGGCTTCTAAACAAGACGTGACACCGGGTTCTGCATGTAAATGTGTATAATTTTAAGGCCCATGCAGCTCTGTGACTCATTACAGTGTTTCCTCCAACTCGCAGCAGCCCAGAGCTCTGTACTGGCTGTGGTTGAGCTTCTGCTGTTATAGCTACACCACACACTGCTGTGGCTAAAGCATGGGCAAGCAATACAAGAGATGCACCGAAAATATCAATATAGAGTGAAACAAAATGAGGCTTATATTTGAAGAAGATGTTGTTTCCTGTTCATGTTGTTGCAAAGTTTTGCAGCCCTCCTTTAGTTGAGCAGGTGCTTCAATACGAAGCTGACCTAACATGACGACGACCTTTCAGAGGAGCTGTTACACTGTGAGCATGACTGCACACCCGTTAGCAAAAGTAATATCAGACATTTTTTTTTGTTTTGACCAACACACCTCAAGCTGCCTTGCTGCATCCCTAGGGAGCAAATGTCTTGGATTATGGAGCTGCACAATAAAATGAAGCCTCTGAATGCGGAAACAGACGTGCTACTGCCTTATTAGAGTAGATATAGTTTCCTTTGAATGGTGGTAGCTGTGTTTGTTCGTAGCATGTTTGAGGATTGCTTTTGTATTGGTAGAAGATAGTTCCTGCGCTTGTTCCGAGAAAGTTTGCCGGCTTTGTGAGAAGAGGATGTGGTTTGAAAACCATTTAAAGCCACAAGATTCGAGCTGTCACATGTTGTGTAGAGTTTTAACTTGCTTTTGGTTTTGTACCTGAGGGGTGGTTGTGTTGAGTCTAAAGAATACTGTGTGTGTAGTTAGTTGTGGCACTGATGGAGTTAGTTAAGACCAGATTTGGAGTTCGTGCTCGTTCTTTTTTTTTTTTTTGTTCCACGGATCTGGTCATAGTTAGTTTGTGATATTATTAACCAACTTGAAAGCATGAGGAAAATGAGGAAAAAAATGTTTTCTAAGGTTTTGTTGTGATCCATCCTGTGTGTGTGTTTGGGGGGACAAATGAACTCCAGTAAGAGACTGCGTCGTAACCTTCTTGCAAAGGTGCATTTATGCTTATTTGTATGTAGACAAAATAATATGGGATGGGGGAGGAATGAGGGAGGGATAGGGGTTCTTTTGTGCATGAGTGAACTGGAGGTCCATAGTTTCCCCATTGCCAAACAACTACTATGCCTCCCTGGTTTTCACATGTTTACCAAGATTAAGGGCTATATCAGTTGTCAATTGTAGACAAACATCCAGCCATCCATTCCACTGAGTGACAAGTCTCCTCTGTGCTGTCGATTCAAAGCCACAGTTGCCGAGATCCACTATCGGAACATGGTCAGTGTTTGGATGTTCCTTTCATGTTGTGGTGGAGCTCATATTTAACAATAGCTGATTGTATATGACTGTGTATGTTTGTTTATAGGCTTTAACTTTGCCTTTTTTGTTTTGTCATCGGAGTTGCGTGATGCGATTTCCTTCCAATTCCCCTGCCTCCTCCACCCAATGAGATGATTTTTTTCTTGTGTAATGAGCTGCATGTGTGGTTGTGACATGAGTTGTGCTCCGCTGGATCTGTGCGCACCGTGACTTTACCCTCTGTCTTGGTAACAGAAACCGTAGCCAAGCGCTCTGCACGCGGACCCCTTGGAAACAGGAGGGCGCGCCCATCCATGCAGAAGTGTTGACAGAATAATCTACCAAAGTCGCTGTCGTCTCCACGCTACAGATCGTCACTGTTTTCACTGGTGTGTGTGTGTGTGTGTGTGTGTGTGTGTGTGTGTGTGTGTGTGGGGTTGTCATGACGATTTGGTTTCCCACTCTCAGGGTTATCTTTAACAAGCAATGCTAGAGTTTTAAATTAACACATTATCTGACCCACCTGTTTCATAAAGCCAAAGCAGTTCAGTCATGATAACCGTCTCCCCCATGTGTTTTGTAATGTTTCCTCTGCATCACGCATCTCTGTAGTCTATTGTACTTAACTAGGCTATGCAAAAACATACTGTTATATGCTGCGATCCCTTTTTCTCACTCTCTCTGTCATTTGTTTGTGGGCACCAGTACAAGCAATATAACTCTCAGTACTTGTGGCACTGCACTGTACTGTAATCTTTGGTTGATGTGTGTGTACATGTATTTGTTTAAAAAAAGTTGTAAAAAAAAAAATACTTGTAATGCTACTGCAATGATGTGGTGAGTATGTATGCTTCAGTGTCAGCGGAGGGGCTTGAGTTAAAAGCCATTCTAGTTTATATATCCTTTTTTTTTCACCCTCTTTTTGGCTTTTCCCCGCCTGCCTCCTCAACCACTAACACTTTGTACTCTGGACTTATGGATAAACCACATTGTTATGAGTTGTTTAAGCCGGAGGGAAAAGTTGAATATATTGTTTTTGTTGGATTAACTCATGTTTGATATCTTTAAACTGTTTGCCACTTTTCCATCCGTCATTTTTGTTGCACTAATTTGATGTGTTGGGGTTTTTTTCCAGTTAAAGCAACAGCTTTCTTCTTTTTCCATCTCAATGAAGTTTCACTGACTGTTGCCTTTTAATCCTCAGTTAGTACAACACAATTTCAGAACTTTTATATATTATACACATGAAAGACCTCAACATGGAACACAGTTGGCTTACATTAGACATTTAGGCTCAAACAGGAACACCCTGAGCTCATCAGTGTCATCGTTCCTGTCCAACAACTTGTAAACTGTACTTTTATCCTCAACCATAGATGATACCAAACAGATGAAGGTGCCATGGTTGAGCTATGTGGATTTTTTTTTTTTTTTTTTGCCAAAATGAGAAACATCTTAGTGTGAGAAGGAAGCAGGCATTTACAAACACACAACAGAGTCTTTCTACATTGTTTTCCTAATAACTTAAAACAAGCCAAAATGAGTAAAGTGGAAAAAGAGAGAAAATTTAAAGCACTGAATGATAGATAAAAAAGGCTTTGGGTTTCGTAAGAAGTCTGCTGTGTACTCGTTGGGTCATCATTTGTATTTTATTTTTGTAATAAAACAAAGATTGGCACTCAGCTGACTGACTTGTCATTTTTTTTACTCAAAATCCTTTGATTTAATCCATCTAACCTCAAGTAGCCTTTTCAGGGTTCCCACGGTCATGAATAACTGGAAATGTTATGAAATTCCAGGCCTGGATATAGTTTGGAATTAACGGAATGTTTGGGAAAGTTTTGAATAGACATTGTTTTGGCTATTATGTTCATAAAAATCTAATGTCCAACATCACACGAAATACATTCGACAGGAGAACTGGAGGAAGATGACGGTGATGAACCCTAATTTTTTAAGGTACAACCTACGCTCAGGTTCAGGGAAGGTTCCAAAGTAATTATAAGACATGTCCATAAAACAATTGATTGCCTAACAAGAAATAAATGCATAGAGGTGTGTCAAAAATATAATTCAAACACGTCAAATTGCATTGATATCTCCTATGTCCTGTGAGTGAATAAAGTAAATAAGAGTTAGCAGTTTGCTTATCCGCAGGTACATGGGACGTGTGTGGTAAATAATCTATGTCTTAAAATCTACTTAAAATGATTGAAATGAGGTAAAAAATACAGAAAAACACAATCAAATTTTTTTTAGATTTATTAGTTAATATACATGGGAACCCTGCCTGGTATGATATAATTTGTGAAGTCTTACAAAAAGCCCCCTTGAGTGCTTGAAGAGAAATTAACCTCAAGCACTTGAGACTGAAAATGTCACCCCACCCAAACATGTGACAAAGCTGAGATATTGATCTGTAAGATCATCACACGGCTGTGTGAGAGGCATCTCAGGCAGTTGGCCTGAATTATTGACAGGATGTCATCAAAAATACGACAGTGTTGCCCCCCCCCCCCCCCCCCCCCCCCCCCCCCCCCCCCCCCCCCCCCCCCCACACACACACACACACACACACTGAGAGCTTTAAACGCTGGGGGAGGTTTAGTTTACAGAATGGGTTTGATTGTTTTAGTTAAGTTCTTTATTGCTTAAAACTATTTAGTTTTAGTTTCAGTATTAGTTTTAGGTATTTTTCTATTGTGATATGAGGGTATTTCTCAAGGGCAAAGTTCAAAATAGGTGTATGCACCCATGCCCTCATGCTTTGAGTGTTGTCAAATTTAACCAATTTGACAAAGACTAAAACTAAAGACGTTTAAGTTTTAATTTTTTCTAGTCTTTATTTTTATTTCACTTATCTACAACATTTTTTCACTTATCAGAAGGTAATTTATTCTTCAAATTTTTATCTGAAGCACAGATAGAAACTATCCTTATGTTGTTGCCATACTTACTGTATAACCCACTTCACACCCAGAGGTCATGAACATATCATCAGGTCTTGATTGGTCTTTAATGAGTCAATACAAATAGTCCAGGACAAAGACACAAGACAGGAATGGATCAAAATAAATTACTGGATGTATACATGAGGCAAACGTCTTCATACAAAACAAACAGAATATAAATAAGGTGGAGCGGTTGTCAAAGTGGCTACAGGAAATGAGGAAGCCCTCACTCATTGCACAACTGAAAGCAACGCACCACATAAAAGATACATGATGCCGACATGACGCCTGCGACTGTTTCCAGAACATATAAAAGAAGACAGGGGCGGCGCCAACAGCTGGTCAACACCTCCATCCAGAGGAGGCAACCTGAGGGCAAACCAGCATGTTGGTTCAGTTCACTGCAAAGGCATGTACGACACAGCAACACAGAGGTGGTGTTTTTACATACAACAAAATCATTTTAGTTATGAATGTGCAAAGAAAAAGTGTCAGCAGGGGGAAAGTAGTCACAATAAACGAGTGGTCGTTAAAATTCTCTTCAGTGCAGAGTCCATTTCTGACATTTAAACGCATCTATTTTAAATATATTTAAAAGGATTTGCTCTAAACTGATCACAAAACTTCCATTCCTTCAAACACACACATAATATCTGGATACATGAGAGCTTTGTCAAAGATAAAAATTTAAATCAAACGTTTCCCTGAAGCACCCTAATCTTTGCCACATGCATCAATGAGACGGGTCAGTTTCCATAAGCTTTACATCATCAGTACACAAAAAAGGTCAAGCAGAAATGAAAAACAAAGACAAGCATTACCCTAGACGATTCATAAAAATAACCTAAACTAATGCCATGCATACTACAACAAGATGAGAATTTACAGCATACTATACAGCATACACTCAGCATCAAAATGATTGAGTACAAAGCACAGAGATGCTTTTTCTAATGCAAAGAAGAGGAGAGATGCATCCTTCGTTAGCAAGGAGCTACAGTAAGGATAGCATTGTTGGTTTTTAGTGCTATTTGGCTAATGCTCCAAGTCATACTGCAGAGTAGGAACACATTGGATATTTACATATTGTGTTTCTCAAAGCCATAAAATCATCAGACAACTGAAATTAGTTAAAAAAAAAAAAAAAAAAAAAGGTGACAAAAAACAAAAAAAAACAAAAACAAAAACAAAACAAACAAAAAAAAACGTAGCTGCTCATATGGTGTCATTCTGCACATGTGCTGTGTCAGAAGTACAGAGGTGGGGATGGTAAGGCCCAGTTGGTGTGTGTCAGGCAGGGGCTGCTTCATGACTTCCAATGGTAAAGTTGGACGATGGCTTTTTGCAGCAGGTGATACATCTACCTCCGTCTCCTGTCAAAATAATGTTGTCCTCAGGATTAAACAACCTGTTGCTTTCAAAGCAGTGTTTCACTTCCGTCTCAGTGCGTTTGGGTCCACGGACCGCAGTAGTCATCACAATCACCACCTCTGTTGTTTTTCAAGTCTTTCTCAGTAGAAGCGCTTGCGCCGGCTCTCGTTCCAGTGGCTGTAGACCACCAGGCTGATGACGATGAGGAAGATGCAACCCAGCATGGAGAAGAGCACGGTGAAGAAAATAGCTATTCCACTCATCCCTTCTTCAGTCTGACCCACTGAAACAGAGGACGACAGTCAGAGAGTAAAAGAGTGAAGGAGTGAAAGAAAATGAGTTGAGAAATAAAAAGGAGGGATGGAGAGATGGGAATTGAATGTGATAAAAGATAAAGGAAGAGTGACAAGACATAGTTGCTTTAGAACCACACATTTGTGTAGACAACAGGCTGCATCATGTTCACCTACTTTTAAATCAACTACGTGTGTTACCTCAGGATTCCACTAGAGGGCACACCAGAGCACTTGAACCATATCATCTTTGCCATAACTTCCAGGAAGAAACCCCCACGCCTCAGGTACATGAAATGAAATGGCGCTGAGTAAACGCTGCTCAACTGATTCGTTTTTAGCCACTGAAAAAAAAGGGCCACCTTGAAAAATCAAATTCAGTTTCAGTGTATGATACATTTAGAACATTTCCCCTGCTTTACCTAGGTGTCAGACAGCCCTTTCTGATGGGGAACTGAAGCGGTTACCTTAAAGCCAGTCATTTTAGGAAACAGGAACTGCTGGTCTACCGCTGCCCCAATCAGTTAGTGTGTAACATAAAGTGGTGAAAATATTCCAAATAAAGTGTTCACTTACACCGATATTGATTCTTGAAAGTTTGGCTTTTTATGTGGCTAAAATGCGTTTTGTAGCGGCCCCCGTCTGCACAGTAAGATAGACGAGGTCACAGGGACCTGAACTTTGATCTCTGACCACCAACATCTAATCAGTTCATCCTTGAGACCAAGTAGACAGTTTTAAAAGTGAGAGCGGCGCCATTGTAGATGGTACATATCAAGCACGTTGTGACGATGTCGAGTACGTTTCTCTTGTTCTGCTAACACTACTCCCTACTATTCATGTGCATATTGCATCTTGCAGAAGGGTCGTGTCACTTTCTGAAGACGTGCACAACCAGTGTTTGAAATGGATACAGGAAACCATGGACACCATGTGCACACGTACAGGCAGTTAAACACAAGTATATCTCTGGCTTAACTCCACAATAACGTGTGTGTGTGTGTGTGTGTGTGTGTGTGTGTGTGTGTGTGTGTGTGTGTGTGTGTGCGCGTGCGCGTGTGTCTTACGTCTAAGGAGCTCAAAGTTATCCACACTGGGTATGGTTATCTCCTCCTCCTCCTCTTCTTCCTGTTGACTCCGCAACACCGTCAGCTGGTAGAGTTTCAGGGAAATTATATCATGGTTGTCTGTAAATTGAGAATCAGAATATATGTTGGTTAGAAGTGATTATATTTGATTAAAGGGGCCTCACAATTTAGCTGCAAGTGTTTATCAAGAAACCCCCCCCACTGCAAATCTAACTGTGTAACCATTTGCTATCAATTCATTTATTTCCTTGAATGTATAGACAATTTAAATATCAAACTCCCAAAATGCAGTTGGCTTCAAGCCCGCCTGCTGCCTGTCTACATAGAAAACAATGTATTTGAGGGTGCAAAAAACGTTTATGTATCTATCATGGCAAGCTACAGTATATTCATCACTTGTCAGTAAATGTCTGTCTTACAAAATGCAAGGCTTTGTCCGTCTCTCCTAAATCACTGATGCAAACACAGCCAAGCAGGAGCAGAAAATACTCTTCAAGGAGCCGTTTAAGCCAGGAGCTCTAACGATATTTTTTTTTACCTTATAAAATAGGCAGACTTTGAAACTAGGGGGAAATAAAGTACTGTGAAACTGGGCACAGTAAATCACCATTACTGGGGGAGCTGTTTGAAGCAGTGAAAGCCGTTTACCTGAGAGGTCTCCAGTGATGGCTGAAGCTCCAAAATAATAGCCTTTGGGAAGCCGCACTCCGGGTATGTCCAGGCAGTCCCTCCACTCATGTTGCCCGTCGATGTCTATCATTACCTGAAGAACAGAGGCAATGCAGTGACTTATAGAGGGTTATCTCAGTTTTGTTCACAAAAGCAGGTTTACTGAGTTATCTAAATGACTTTCTTTGGCAAAATGTAGAATCAGCTATAATCGTGGAGATGAACTTCATATAGACGTGCTCTGAGTTTCACTCAATTTCTTGGATCAGACCCTGGACAATGGGGCTGCAATTTAGAAATACTCTGCTCTCTACACTCTCAAGTTTAGTCCTTAGCTCCCATTCCTGCTCCTGTGATCACATCACCACTGTCCTAAGTACTTAAGTGTGTTTTATGATCATTATCTCAGTAGAAATGAACACACAACTCAATGCTGCATTTTAGATGACAAAGTCAGCTGTTTTTTCTGACTAACAAAGACATGTAATAACTTTTGGTATGTATCTAAGAGGCTGAAAAAACGCCATCTTAGTTTTACTCTTTGCTCCTTTGGAAAGACTTTGACAATCAACAACATTTGTTTCTCTCTGTGTAACTCCCACACCATTCTCAATAATTGCCCTGTACCTGCCTGTACCTGCATTAATGGAGCCTCCAACTGTTATTATTCTGGTCTGTTTGTGTCTGTGCTTGTAATATGAATCTGTTTTCCAGTGTAACCTTTAAAAGGGTGTTGTACGCATGTTCTGCCAACTTAAATGAATATTAGTAGGTCACATCAGCCCATCCAGTATATGCTAACAACAGGGTGGTCAGTTAAGGACATGAGGAAGTGTCCATGTATGTTGAGCAGTGTTGTTATTGTAGATAACTGAAGAAGGAGTCTCTCACCGTGAGCCTGCGGCGGACGTATCGGATGAAGAGGAAGGTGTCATGTTTAAGGTTGCGCACCATGGCATTGCATCCTCCAAGCTCTGTGGGCCTGCCGTCCCGCTCGTGGTCGTAGCTGATGGTGCCGTTCCCAACCATGGCCAGAACGAAGGGGAAAATCCTCTTGTGTATCACAGGGGGAAAAGTTTAAGTTAAGTTTATTCACTTTATTAATCCCCTGAGGGGAAATTCAATGTGTTCACTCTTGCTTGTCAATTACACACAGGTCTGAAAGACACACACATGCACAAACAGGACCTATACATGCACAAATTGGAGAGATGTCAGAGTGAGGGGGCTGCCCTTTGGTCAGGCGCCCCGAGCGGTTGGGGGGTTCGGTGCCTTGCTCAAGGGCACCTCGGCAGTGCCCAGGAGGTGAACTGGCACCTCTCCAGCCACCAGTCCACGCTCCATATTCTGGTCCGGACGAGGACTTGAACAGGCGACCCTCCGGTTCACAACCCAAGTCCCTATGGACTGAGCTACTTTGACTGAACCCCTTGGAAGTTTATGTTACTCTGATGAAGACCACACAGCAAACACACAGCAACCATGCAGGGATCAAAAAACACCACAGTATTGTTTCAAACTTAAGGCCATGTCTACAGTCAGAAAAGCATGCTTAAGCACCAACTGATGCTGTATTATGAGGTTAAACGCAGGACTGAGATCAAATGTTCCAAAAGCCGGTTTACCTGTGTGCGAGGAGTATATCTTTTCTTCTGAGCCTGTCTCCAAATAGTTGCACAAAAGAACACAAAGACGGCCCTTTTACACAAATTTGCAAGAGCACTTGTTGATGGCTTGCACTTGAACTTGCACTCAAACCCTACTGTGCTTTCACACAACATAAGAAACCTCAGCAGTGCTACTCCGGCATACCTCTAAGTGTTTCTCCTCGTTGGGATATGTGTCCACAAACACACCCAAGCCAGTGAAGTTGTCCACATTTCCAAACACAGGACCTGTAAAAGAACGAAAAGACAGTGTTGATAGTGTGTTTTTATAATTAAAATAAGAACTTAGGTTAGGTGAATAATATTTCCTGTAGCATTTTACCTTTCTGCGCCCGTTCCTTAGTGTACCAAATGGCCAGCCCATCACCATTCAAGTTCTTCTTCCCTTGCCCGTGAATCTTAAAGTGCACCTGCATCTCCCAGTCCGTCAGATGGCAAGGCTAGAAAGACACATGTTAAAAAATGCCACTGAAATACAGACGGTTAAATCCAACAACTTGGCAATAAACATAAAAGAGGGACACTAAGAGATTCTCAAATTTCAGATTTTTAAGGGGTGAGGTTAAGGTCTTTGGTAAGACCCAGCCCCCTTAAAACCCCACTGACCTGACCAACATGACATTATACTGAAGTCTGGTTTCACTTCTGATAGTTTTTTTCTGTAGTGCTGTGTAAGCAACACAGAGTGCCTTGAGGTCAACGAAAGAGGAAACACAAATCAAAGAGGAAACAGCTGATCCACTGTGGCTCTCAGTGGCCAAAGTAAGTATAAACAGTCAAGTCTTCTGCTAAGTCAGGTGGTATTTGCATCGGCATATCAGAGATATGAGGTATTCAGCCAACCAAAATCATGGGCAGCAGATGATGAGGGTGTTTATTTTGGTTGGTGTGAGATAAGATCAAGGTTACAGCAAAGACGATGTAAGACAAACTGTCTGGAAGCAAAAACCTCCTCCCAAGCCAAACCCATACATAATAATATCTACTTTACTGGCTGAATAAAACCAGTTGAAACCATTTCCAAACAATACAGTAAATACCTACTTACAGTCATTGACAGTCAGTGCAGTACCCATTACCAACAGGCTTCTGTACAAATCTTTTTGATTTCCAAGCCTTTGGTGACCTGCTTGGTATGCACTGAGTTGCCATATTAGCAGCATTTACATTGATGAGGTTAGACTAAATATTATAAACACCTTCATGACGACAGGATTCACTGCAGGGATGTTTTATTAGGCCACATTAATTTTATCTTGGTGAACCTAATAACCTTGCAACTGAGTGTAAAAGCCTGTTTAACACCTCTAATCCTCCCTTTATTCTGTATCCTGTGTAGCTATCCTGTTGTTGATATTTAACAGCTGCACATCACAAGTCAGTACTTCTGCAGTTTACCAGCGCATATGTATACTCACAAGGCGGCTCCACACTGCCCCCTGCCTGCTCTGCATGTCAGGTGTAAGGCGCACCTGGTCGGTGGTTACCATGGCATCCCCTTGCAGCTCCCAGTGGGAAGAGCCTAAGGATCCCACACCTGAGTACACAAATAGCACCATCATGGGACGAAAAAAGAAAAAGATGACACAGCACAATAGGGCCTGCCCAGCCTCTGCTTTGTTACTGAACAAAACATCTGCTGCATGTTGTACTGCTCTTACTGTATTCATTACACATTGTCCATCCTGTTAACACAGCTAATACTGCTAACACTGTCCATTTCATTTTTAATTGCTTTTAATTTTTGGTAAAAATTTTTTTTACAGTACTTTCTATCATATGTATTATTTATACTACCACTAAGACACATTAATTTGCACTTTACTATAGAGATGGGAATTACCCAAAGCCCCATGACATGATATTATCACGACACTTAAGTCACGATGCAACATTATTGTGACTTTAAACATTTTACAATATGCTGAGTATTGTGATGACATATATTGTGATTTATTAACTTTTTTTTACTGCAAATTATGTCTCCTGAGGTAAACTTTGTCAAAATGTGTTTTATCAAACAAGATAAAGTTCTCAAACTATTCATCTCACTTCTGTCATTGTTACTGCAAGAAAATGTATCTAGTTAACTGAAAAAGCATTTGATGTTATAATCTAGTAGGCTTTCAAAATCTGAATTTTTATTTGCAATATTAATAATTTCTGTTATAAATAAATCTTTACTTTGCGTCTGTGTACCGATACAATATTGCCTTGCTAAATATAATGCTTTTTTTGCACTTCTGGTTAGATGCTAAAGTGCCTTTCGTTGTCTCAGTACCTGATTTCCAGTCTTACTCAACTAACGCAGATGGTTTTCTAATTCACAATAAAAGTAAATCGATTCACAATAGTCATTTTTTGTACTTTGAATATAAATTAGGTACCAGAGTTGATTAAAAAAAGCATCAAAATAAACTTGTTTATCCCATCAAAGTACAAGGGCAGGGCCCCCCCCCGGTTCCCTTGACACATAGGGCCCAAATGTCCTTTAAATCTTAGAGACACCCCTGCTTACACCTGAACTGTGAAGGGCTGCAGTTTGTTTATTAACTGGCCCCTGGACTACTGTCATTTGCAAGAGTGGACCCAGAGCATAGCATGTTGAGTGTCCCTGCTGTACTCTGTGCAGTGATACTGAAGTTTAATCTTAAATAATCTGTTCATGTCACAAAAAGTAGAACACACAGAGGTCTTAAATGAAGCTCAATGTAAGGCATTAAATATGGTTTATGTTTAGCAGTTTAACAGGCTAAATGTTACAGCAGTAAGATTTATTTGAAGACTGAAAGCGTTTAAAGACAAATTGAACATATCAGGAAAAAAGAGCTCGAGTATAGCTGCAATTCAGTCGTTAATGCTAAATTATTCTGGAAACATCTGTCCCTCAGCCCGCCCCTGTGACAGCCTGCGAGGTGTATAACGGTCAGGATAACGTTACCTTGATACGGCTTGGAAAGGGAATATTCCCGCTTCAAAAACTCCTCCATTTCGTGGTCATCGTCGGCCAAACACTGACTTGTAATAAATATAAGAAAAGCAAAAGTCCAGTACGATGTCAGAGGCATTATTTTCCGTCTGAATGGTGATTTGAGTTCCCTATAATGATAGCTCCTGCTGGCGGCAGCCATCGTAGGTCAAAGCTCAGCCCACTGAATCGTCAACTTCGTTCCCATTGGCTCACTGTGTTGCATGGCTTATTTCCATTGGTCCGTTTGATTGTCAATCAGAATGAACGCTTTTGATTGGCTGTATTGTGAAAGTGTTTCAGAGAATGTCAATAGTGGAAATAAATTAAGTAACTTATTAAATTGGAGGTGTGCAAATGTAGCAGAGGTGTTATAAGCTTCATTTTGACATTTGAATCCTTTTGGTAATTCATGTATTCCTTGGGAAACCCGTGAAGTGAAGGCTTTATTTGTGGGTGCAGCTTTATAACACCTAAAATTAGTTTGACACCTCTGCTGTAATCGATATTAGAGACGAATATATACATAAAAACAATGCTGACTTCTTCCTGATGAGCTCACGTGAACTTTTTTGTTTTGTTTTGTTTAAGGTTGTACTTAAATGAGATTAAAAATCCCCAAAGAAAAACAATTAGAAATGTGTTTAATTATATCTCCTGCCGTATGATATCGAAAAGAAATTCAGTTTTACAAATATTTTCAAAGATATATTCACACGTTATGAAGTATATGTTTATACTTTCCTATAACTCCAAAAGCAAAGAAATTCCTTTTAAAACCTTAAACAGAGGATATCTGTCCACTGACTTGTCACAACAACAATTTGATATTGAAACCAAAAACTGTGTATCCTGTGACCACACTGAAACTTTATCGTTTACAAGCTTTATGGCTTGATGTACATGACTGGCTTTCCCCAAAAAGTTTTTCAGCTTGAAAACTTTTCTCAAAAGGATATTGTTTATGGACTCATCATGGACAACAGTAAGGATGACTTTCTGGTTAATAACAGTCTTATACTTGGAATTTTTTCTTTACACAAATCCAAATATGTGAAGGTGAAGGTGTTACATAATAAGTTTCTTTTTTATTTGAAAGCCCTTAAACTGATGAAATACAAAAGTGTTTAAGTATCGTCATGTATAATTATAGTAATTGTATGAATGAATGATGCATCCAGGGTCATAGTTTAGGTACTGTCTGCATGCAGGCGTGTGAGGAGGCTCCAGAGTGTGTGATGGTTAAGGTACTGTAAGATAACTTTGTAGGTGTTTAGACTCCAATGGTAAACATATCTGTGTGATGTGTGAAATAAATACACTATAAGGCTGATTCATTGTTCTGTTGCTTAAAGTTTTTGGTATGTCTTTGTCCATGTGTGCTGTGCCATAAGCTTCTCTGATCAGATTTGTCTTAAGCAAAGATCAACTGTGGCTCATTGAGTTTGTTTATTATCATCAAAATTAGAATTACTGTACAGAAGACAAAAAAGGCTTTCCATATTTAGTCAGCTTTTGCCTTTTGGGTGATGTTGTTTTTTGTTTGTTTGTTTTTTAACAGATGCACAAGATTTTTTCTTTGCAGTGCTCTGTTAGTGGTCTGTTGGCTAAGGCTCTGGCTGTGCCCCGAGGGGAAGGGGCCCAAGCTGCTCCGCCAGCAGAGAATAGAGTCCTTTGAAATCAGCCAAACTGTTGGACTCAGCTTTTTGTGTCCCCAGTGGTGGTTGTGGCCTGACAGGAAGGGGCTCAAGCAGTTCCCCCAGCACTGAATTGAGTCTTTGGGCCTCAGCCAAAATACTGGACTCAGCTGTTTGTGTCCTGTATGGTGGCTCTGGTTGTAGCTGAGGGGAATCACTGTGGCCGAGGCTGAGACTGTGGCCGAGGCTGTGGTTGCGGCCCTAGAAGAAGGGGCTCAAGTACCAGCACTGAACTGAGTTCTTGGACCTCAGCTGAATAGTTGGGCTCTATTGTTTGTGTCCTGGATGGTGGCTCTGGGTTTGGCTGAGGCTGTTGCTTTGATACTTTTAGTTGAACAGAGTATTTCAGCATTGTGGTATTGCTTCTTTTTCTCCAGTTAAAGATTTTAGTACTTCTTCCACCACTGGATACAGTTTACTGATAACCATTACATAATAAATGTCCCACTCTTGTTTGTGCCCACTGAAGACTCATTCATGTTTCCTTTTAATCACCATTTTTGACTCTTGTAAATCCTCCAGGCCCTGTAAATGTTCTGTGTATATCCTCCACTGTTAGGATCGAGCTCCCCCTGTGATTCACAATGAAATGGGTGTACTCAGTAGTGGTAAATACACTTAATTTTCAGTGATCACTTATAATCGTAGACCCCCAATAAACATGCTGTCTGATGACTGGGAGCAGATGGTGCTGAGAGTGTTTCTCTACATTGGTATGCATGGGATGCTGAGAATTCCAAAACGCCGCTTTCGTCTCCATGTCTTACTGCATTGCCCTCAAGCACACTAATAATCAGCAACATCATTCACATACTGCTCATCACTGATGGTGTTTTCACATACAGTCCCTTTTAAACAAACTTAACTCAGTCCTCTTAAAGTGGACCAAAAATTGGACCAACAGAAAAAGGACTTAGTTCTTTTTGTGTTCACATTGTCAGTTCATTTGAAAGATGACTCGGTTCTCTTTCTGGTCAACTTCAGCTCTGATGGGGCCTCAGTCCTCTTTCTGTTCACACTATAGCCTATATATATACTGTAATATATATTGACATAGTTTTGTTTTTACTTTGACATGGCACTGCAGTGTGGTTATGAAGCCCATCGCTTTCAGATGAATTTAAAAGTGGAGGAAAACCTTGGTGTGTCTGTGTTGTAGACTGTTGTTGTTTGATGTATTCTACATTCCACATCTGGAGACGTGCATAATCTTCCATGGTCCAAACTACTCCTTGTCCTGCCACCTTGCAAGTGCTACAGGCCAACGTGGTTTTGTCTGTTTTTTCAAGCATCCTAGTGCAACAGCATGTGATCTAGAGGTAAATACAATGGCAAAGAGCAAAGTTAACCTGGAGTGCTTTGTGTTCACAAGGCACAGGTTAAGAGAACCGCACCCTGGACTATAAGCTTCAAGTCCCTCAGACCCCTCTGAGGGGTCTGAGTTCTCTTGGAGGGTTCAAATATGCACAAAAAACTACTGAGTCACAGCTCTGAGTCCATTTAGAGGGCTGGAAAGGACCAAGTGTGAAAACACCTTAAGTTTCTTGGTATTGCCATTCCATATACTGGGGGATAGCTAATGAAATTAGAGCCTTCTAATGGCAATATCATAAAAAAATGACAACTGCACTGTAATTTTTCAAATTCAAGAGAACAATATAATAAAATAGTAGTGGTAAATAAAAATATCATACGAACTAAAATGCTAATTTTGGACAGTGTGATTTGGGTGTGTACTGTCCCTTTAAGATCACGCCCCCTTCACTGCCGCTGCCGTGTGTCGGCTTTCTCACATGCTCACCCTGAGTTCAGTCAGCACAGCACTAGGGGATGGAGTAAGGGAGGGAAAGCATGGATCCCATTGAAGAAAAAAGCAAACCGGTCGACATTTATCGCGACACATGGGTCCGCTTCCTAGGTATGTATTGATTTATAATTTGTGGTGGCTCAGTCCACTGTTTTCCTTCAGCAGACTGTGAAAGATGAACGATACAGAACAGAGATTTAACGTTACACTGGAGCTGTCGTGACCCTGGAGCTGTGTGCTAAAAGTTAGCATACTTGGCTAACCACTGTTAAAATACTATTTATAGCAAGGTCGTTTTGTTACCACAGGACGTAATGGACGACGTCCAACACTGGACGACAGTACCGTTGTTCGGGCTTTGTTTCCGTAACGTTAACTGTTAGCTTACGTATTGTGTTAGAGTTGTCTCTTTAGCTCAGGACTGTCTCTAAAGAGGTAGTTGTTCAGCAAGTTGAGACAGTGAGTCACACACAACCACAAAGAAACGCCCGTAGGCATAACCAGGCTGAAAGATAAAGCACAGTTGTGGCAGGAACAACTTCCTGTTTGCCTTGTTGTCCTCCTCTAATTCAAACACCAGGGTCATCATTAACATTGATTACACCGTCACCCAATGAGCTGTCAGCTGAGAAGGGCATGTACAGTATAGGTGAAGGGCATTCATACTGCAGCAGTTTCCACTGTAACGTTATAGGCTGTACCCCTGGTGTCTTTAATGTCCTGCTCCCCCGTGGTTTACACTGGCCTGCAGTGACCATGTAATGTCATGTGAATCCGTTGATCCTCTCCATAAAATCATAATCTATTTGCTCACATCTTTAATCTTGCGTGTGCAGTGAAATATCTCCATCTCTGCACTGACATGCATGTAAACAGACATTTAGAGTTGCTCCTACATCAGTTTCTAATATCTGTGTGCTTTGGGTCTTAATAATGAGCCATGTTTTGAGGTGAATATTGGAATTTGAAAAAAATAATGTAACTCAAATTTCATGCATTTCTTCTTATACTTGATTTTTTTAAAAAGATTTTAAGATAACACTATGCTTGTGATATTTTCTCCCTTGAAATGGTTACTTACACTTCATGCGTCTGCACAAATGTTTGCCAAACGTGCATTTCTGCCTAGCACTGGAATCCCTGGAACTCTATTTTATGTCTGGAAAAGATTGTTTTTATTACAGTGGAAAATCTGGGATGGTGGTTATGCAACACAGACTGGATTTAACCCGAAATGTGGTATTTTTATCTAACCGAACAAGCAGGAAAGTCCAGAAATAAGCTTATGAGAAATTCTGAACTTTGCTTCATGTTTGAGCACAGTCACTGACACTGACAGATTTAGTGGCATCAAGCACTGGAACTTCTTCCCTGTGCCAACTGTAACCTCAGGCTTAGGACTCCTTCAGTTTTCATTGTTCAGGAGGTTTTAATCGGGAACTGAATCATCTGCAGAGGTGTCTTTTTCTCCAAACAAGTCGATCAGGTGAATAAAACATTAAAAAACACAGAATAAAGTCTCATGTTACAAATCAGTGTTTCTCCAAGACTATTCGGCTTCTCGCTGATGAGCACTAGCCCAGCACCTGCTAATGTGTGCTAACCTTTTTTCTCCGATAACTTAATATCCAAGTTCAGCAGGTTTTGGCTGGGAACTGAACTATCTGCAGAGGTCATTTCCCAGTGATTTTAACAAATAAAAACACTGAATAAAGCAGTTTCATGTTAAAAAATCTTTTGGATGCTATTTGACTCATCACAAAGGGGCTGCTAACTATGGTGGCCAACACGAAAACACACAAAGCCCTTTCAAGAGCCAGTGTTTGATTTGTCCATTCTGGGCTACTGTACAAACATGGCGGTGCAACATTGCATACTCTGTAGTTAAAATCTGCTCTTTCTAAGGAAATGAAAACATAATGCTATACACTAAAGAAAACATACTTATCAAGTTATATTCAATTTCAGTCAGTATATCTTCCTAAATCCTACACACTGGACCTTTAAAATCGTGACTCACAAGCCCTTGTTCACAGGTCACAATCTGGCCCTTGTGTATTATACCAGGGCATGGCATACCTGCAGCTAATCTTATCTGTCATTATGTTTATTATACCAGTACAGCTCTTATCACTATATTCTCACAGGTGCTTCTGGAGCTCCAGATTCAGTAGTTACTTTGCTGTCACCTTCACTGCTGCAGTATTAAAGCAAGCAGCCTTGAGCCAAGACCAGGTTCCATAAAGTTGTGTTGTTCTCCCGGCCAACCTTTTCCCCAGCAGACATTTTGACTTGCCATAGGAAAGCACAGACTCAGTTCTATTTAAGTGTGCTACTAAGTCATAACAGTGTGACAGTGAGCCAGCATGAACAATAACAGGACCATTGCTGAAGTGTACTCTGTGTAAAAGGCTTATGTGATCACATTGGGATGTGAGCAATGTCTAGTGGGCTCTAATCTTTTTTATTTCTTCTTTAAAGTCTGTTTTAATTCCAGTTTTCATTGTTTTAGGTCCTTAAACATCAAGAGTGCATTATATAAAAATGGATATACGTACTGTACCTCTTCACTTTCACAGTTTTCAGAAGTTCCCTCTTGATCAGGATGTTGTGTTTGCTGCAAACAGCAATCAGATATTACACAAACTCATATTTATAGTCATAAGCACTTATTGCACCTGTGGTTTTTGTTGTGATGTGCAGATTTTCTCTCTCCCTGTCTCTCTCATGGGTCATTAAGTGTCCTGGATATGTCCTTGTGGTTCTAGGCAGTGCTAAGTTTAGAGTTTATAATCATTGTTTGGAGTACTGCTCAATTCTAAATGATCAGGCCTGGTGTTTTTGAGTTTGAATATTATGATGTGCTCCTTGGTTACTGCTTACAGACAATTGGAAGAAAACAAAGCTGTCATGTGATTTACTCTCTTACCATAGCCGAGGAAGCATGATTCACTCCTGCATCCTTTACTGAAGGCTGAATTTCAATGAAATTCTGAAAGCAAAACAGACATAGCTGTTGAGTGGGGTGTACTCACAAATGTATCTTCCTCAGTGTTTGTTTGAAAAGTCTTCTGTCCTGTAAACTCCACAATTCTGTAAAAAAATGGGAGGCCAAACTATAGCACCCCAGGAATACTACGTGAAACTCTGTCAGGCAGGATGCACCAAAACAGCTTTATCTATCCCGATACCAACCCCTCAGCTCAGGTCATCTGCAGACACCAGTGCTCTCTTTCTTTTTTATGTAAGGTAACATCATTGTGGGATCGTGGAAGACCTTTGGGCATGAAGTAACTGATAGCGATAAGTTTCAAACACTTAATGCTGCTGCTGTAGGAGATCTAAATCATCCAGACTTTACCAAACTAAACAGTACAGTGATTATCTTAGTTGACACCCAAGATAAAATCTTGTGTGTATTTTGAAAATTCTCTAAGCAGTTAAGGGGATTATCTAAATTTAAATAGAAATCTATAATCTGGATCTGATCTTGATTTGATTGCAAGAGAATAAAGACTAGGAATCTTGTGTTTGATGAAGCAAAGCAAAACTGATGTTTGTTCCTCATTTATGCAGCCAAAAACTGTTACTTGGTAGAAAATAAATTGCGACCAAGCAGCGTTTCATTGGCTGTGAAATGGTTGCTTGCAAAGTCAGGGCTTCCTTAAGATCAGTGAAGTGTAGTCTTTGCACAGTAGCCTCAGTTTGCCAGCAGTACCACACATAAAGACAAACAGCTACATCAGAATTCCATCTCACCATGCTTTGATAGTTCCGTCGTCATTGAACCAAAGATAATATCTCCCATGTGACTGGAGTTAATTTTACCAGTGGTTTTTACATGTACCGCGGTGTATGGCGCAGGTGATTTCTTTATAAGTCAACAAGGGCGTTTGAGTCATTTGAGCCTCGTGGAATGGGTGTTGCATAATTTTCCAAATGGTGCTCTCCAGTTTCACTGAGACAATGTCAAAGATAAGGGGGAGGTTTATTAGCCTCTTGTATGTTTCAGGATCTATATGGGATTTTGAGACACTATTGTAACCTATCTAAGGTCATGATGCCTTTAGAGGAGACCAAGGAGGTTTACATCTTATTTGCATTTGTGTGTGTGTCCACAGGTTATGCCAATGAGGTCGGGGAGGCTTTTCGTGCTCTGGTACCTGTGAGCTTTGTATGGGGCAGCTATGCCGTGGCCACTGCGTACGTTACTGCTGATGCTGTGGACAAAGGGAAGAAAGCAGCTGTGGTAAGATATTACCATTTGTATGCGTTGTCTTCATTAATAACAATCATATTGGTTAGATGTAAATTATTGTGTTGTGAGAAAGGGGTGTAAATAAATATTAGGTCAGCATCATCTTATATCAGGGCTTACAAAGGATTAAAAGATTAATCTAAGGGTTTATGAGATGCTTTAACAGACAGCAGAAAGAGATATTTCTGCACAAAAAAAACAGAGAAACTAGAAATTAAATTATGGTTGTTACCACTCTCATTTTCTGTTTCTCCATCTGTTCCTAAAGGCCCACGGGGAGAACCCAGGGAGGACGACACGGGTAGCGGTGGCAGTGGTGGACACGTTTGTGTGGCAGGCCCTCGCCTCTGTGATCATCCCGGGCTTCACCATTAACCGTGTGTGCGCTGCGTCACTGTACATGCTGGGCAGAACCACCAAATGGCCCCTGCCCGTCCGCAAGTGGACGACGACAGCTATAGGCCTCTCTACAATCCCCTTCATTATCACTCCAATAGACAGGTTGGCACAAGTGTATTTGTTGCTTTGTATGAATAAGGTTTATGCATGTTGCTCATTATGTAAGATTGATTTTAAGAGTCAGGCTGCTCACACAGTCCTGCTGCTGGAAAACATAGCCTTTTCTATGCGTTTTGGCCTTTGTAGATTCATTGTAGATTGTAGCACATTATATTCACCACAGTAAAATTACATATTATTGTTATTTTTTTAAAGTTGTGTCCTTTAGTTGTTTGAATCTTTATGATTAATTTTGCTCATCCAAACAGTTAGTCCTATTATTCCTATTTGACTGGTCATCAGTCACCTGAATGTGCTGTCATCTGTCATTGTGGCTTCTGATAGCTGTCAATGAGTCAGCTCAGTTGATGTGATTTATCCTCCACTGTGCAGAGGATTGTGGGCCAGAATAGCATGCTGGCTTGCACACTGCAAGATAAGACTGGGTGTAGTAGAAGAGGGTCTCTTTTTCTTCTTCTTCTTCTTCTCCATTTGGAAAGAGATTTTTTATATCAGTGATTATGTGGAAGGGAATTTTTTAGAGAACCAAGGAGGGGAGAACCACATTTTCAAAAATACCTGTGTCCGTGTGGACTAGGCCCACAGTGCTCTGCTTTTTAAGGGAAGGATTGAGAGCAAATATTTGTCAGATGTTTTAATATCTTAGGTTGGAACAAATGGGGTTAGAGCTGAGTCCTACTGATTACAGGAATTGAACTGAACAAAATGTTTTTGATGCTTGAAAATCATGATTTAAATAAAAAACTAAGTTGTCATTATCAAAATGATGCCAAATAGTTTAGAGTTCAAGTGTTTGGCTAAGTGCAGCAGAAGTGCAGCTTCTGTAGCACATACCCCCGTTAACAAACCTAAATATACCAGAGCATTGCAATATTATACTTAACCAGAGACATTCCTCCATTTAGAGGTGGGCGATGGGGTCCAAATTTTACTTTTCACATGTTTTAAAAGTGGATTTTACCAGAATATTTCAAATATACAACTACTTTACATGTTTTAAGATAAGAGCTGGTGTTACTCATAATCATACTGTTGTTTTTTAACTTCCTTTAAAGTTTTGCTGGAACATAAGAGAAGTTAATTATTCACACACAGTTTTTCACTCTCAGGTAGTAAGATAGGATCCTGGTCTTCTCACCAATGCCCAAACATTGACAACAACATAGCACTTAGACACAAACATTTCAGCTCCTCTTACCTTTATTGCCACAGCTGCTCTTGTCAAGCGAGAAAAACGTTTCACAGATCAATTCTGCTTTTATGAAATGGATTCAGAATTGCTGTATTATGCCTCCAACATCACGTTTCCACTCTCTGTGCCCTGCAGGTCAGTGGATTTCCTGCTCGACTCGAGCCTCCGGAAGGTCTATGGTGAGCAAGAGAAGCACAAATAAGGACAGACCATGCAGGACAAATTGTCCCTGTCTGGGTAGAGACCAGTCCACTATATGTCGACCTGTGCTGGTTATCCACCACTGTGAAGCACTATAGAAGTGTGAAGAAGAATTTCACGGAGCAAGACTCCGCAGTTAGTCAGAGATACATAAAATAAAATCGATTTTATTTCAGAACTATAACATTTATATAAGTAAGTTAAGTTGCTAAAAGTGAAATACCCTCATGGGGATCCTTTAACCTCTCAGGGCAATCTGGGTAGCGACACCAAAAAACGCTTAAACAGGAATGTAACAGTATGACATATGTAAATATTCACAGTACAATCCTGCTTTTTAAAGTATTCTTTGGCAGGGATACAGCGTGCTGTTATATTCCTGTGAGCCGTCTCACAGAGAAAGCCTCCGAGGTTGCCCTCACGGTTCAGAGCTGTGAGCTCAACTCCTGTCCAGATGTCAAGGTGATTTAATACAAATCTGTTAGCTGTGTTTATAGCCATATGCTGTGGTACTGTATTGACAGGCCAAAAAAGCCAGTTTGCCATAATGTCCCTCTTATTCAGTACTTATGTAAAGTTTGCATTTGTTGTTTTGTTTTGTTGTTTCTGAAAACAAAGCTGCCTGTTACTTTGAATAGCTGTTTCAAGGGTTTGTGATGCTGTTTTTCAGTTTCATTTTACCTTGCTGTTGGTTACGGGAGCCAAGGTTTGCACTGGGGGCATTTCTTACACCACAGTTACACTCTGTATTATTATATGTGGTATATGATTCTCTTAAAGGGCGGGTCCATCTGTTCATTTATGGGTTTTTCAAATGAAAACGCCCACTCAGCTGTTGAATGAAATAGATGATCGTTGTGATCGCTGCTTAAAACAATAACTGAAATGGTTAGTTTGGATTTGTTGAAGTGGGTTTGTATAAGGTACTTATCCATAGTCAGTGTAATAGTTTCACTGCTTTACTTTGCAGTGAGATGGCCACCAGATTCCACTGACAAAAACAGTAATTTTACCTGACAGAACAAGGGAGTTGCTGTTCAACAGCTACCTCAATCTGTTAGTTTGTCTTTTTGTTTGACTTTCAGATCCAAACTCAGCTGGCATCTATAGCCAGATGAGTTTAGCTTCTGTGCTAGTTAGGGGGATAGAGAAATCTTGATAATTTGATAGACTGATAACACACAAATCTCAAAGAGGGCTTGGCTCAGTCTTGAAAAGCCACAGGAAGACTAGGGGGGTTTATATGTAGCAATGTCATCATGCAGAAAACTAAGTCAGGTCACATGACTTAGGCTAAAAACTTTAAATAAGGAGTCCTAACCTTGGAGTGATTAAGGAATGTTCTCAGTGCGACTCTGAGCAAGGAAGGGACAGAAACTTACCTGAGTTTGGAGGTGTGGTTGACCCCGTTGTTAGGTGATGCATTCTTTTAACAGTTGTGATTGGTTGTCACAGCCACACCCCTGTGTGAGCCTGCAAGGTGTGGACACCCAGTGGAAATGAGATAAACTGCTGACTGTGAAAGTGTTGTCATTATTAGTGTGATCACTCTGCTGATGGAAGGTTGAGACAGACTCAAGTCATCACTGCTGCACTGTTGCAAATTTACAGTTTTCCAAATATCTTATTACTGTGATCATTTTATTTCTGGCGTTGGGTGGGAAATGTGTGCGTATCCCTCATGAGATCAACCACACATATTATCACTGCACTGTCTAATCTGTAGCATTTCATTAACTCACTGTCATCCAGCGTTTTGAGAATATTTTTCCGACCTCTTGGTGTTTCCATTATTTTCTCCTTTGCTTAAGAAACTCTTAAACCCATTAAAAGTCCTCCTTCCTATTCCAAACAGTTCTTCACCGTAGGAGCTCTTTTATGGGCTAAGATGCTTTGTGACTAACTTAAATCTTTACATGGACCTAGTCTTAACTTTAAGGGGAAATTCTAAGAAAACTTCACAATGCTAAGAATTTTCGTCACTAGTAGCAGCTCTTTGTACTAGGAAGCTCTGTAGATACGGCCACAGAATAATATAAAAACCTTTAAAAAATGCATGGACCCACCCTTTAAACTAAGAAAACTTGAAGTCACATCAAGTAGAACTTCACAAGTATTTTAACTATTAATCACCAATATCGAAACTGTCGTTTACGAAGTCTGTAGTCAGACAGTGTACAATACTGTAACTTCTGAAGTCTGAAAACGTTACACGTACAAGTTTCAGACATCTGTAACTAATGTAAACATTTAAATCTTAAACCTTTCTAGCACCAGCAGTCAAGCTGCTTTGAAATATGAGTCCTATAAAAAAGCTCTAAGCTTTGGTGTTACAGTTTTTAACACTTTTTCCTCATTGTTGCACAAGTGTAGATATTTTTCATCCAGCACAAGTACATTAAATGTAGTGTCTCAAACACCTGTTGAGGTCAGTGTTGCACCTATGCAGAAATGGTTTTAAGGGATTCTTTCAGAAGTACACAGGTGCTGTACATCTGTATTATTTCCAATGCTTTTCTTTGAGGAGCCAAGTCATATACTGTGTCTCATGCTGAACTATGCAAGGGAAACTTGGGGAATTATGAATTACAAGGGATTGTTTTCCCTCTTAAAAAGAACTTATGTGGTTACATAATATTGTGAGATCAAAAGGGAAATCTGATGCTAAATGTAGCTTGAAATTTGGTTGAGTGTTCGTAAGATAAAGAGGAACATGCTGTGTTTTCTGTCAGTGAACACCAGTGTACCATTCTAGCAATAACTTTTGTTCTGTGTGTCTGTGTCACACCTTGTTCTCTTTGCTATGAAGGATGTGGTTGACTTTGTCACAGAGAGACATATGCTGAAAGACAAGATTGTGAAAACTTGGGGTGCACCATTATGTCTTTAAACTTTATTTAATAACCAGTTAGGTCACGATTTTCAACATGTGTTGACTTTCACCTTAAGTGTAAGAGTAGAGACCTTCTTCATGTCTGGCAGTTTGACTTGTTATAGCAGGGAAAGTACGAGTGTTAGTAACACCAAAGTCAGAAGTCTACACATAGTTTCTTTAAATGTCCCAATTAATTGTGCATAGTAACATGGCTCTGGACTTGGGACACTTAAATGTAATCCACCCATAATTAATTACACATGTGCTTTTCCTGCTTTAATAGACCTATTGGTGCATCCTTTGTGAAAATCTGTATATTCATACTTATTTTTAACATTTCAGATTGTACACACAACTCCATTGTATTTTTATTGTTGCATGCTGCAAATGAAAAAAGGAACGGTTTACTTTTTTTTTTTGGTAACATTTTTAAAGTTTCCTCATGTGGCAGCGAGTTTGGAAGTGGGTTTTATGAGTCATACTTTCAGCCTTAACTGAAACAAAAGATCAAACCTCAAACTTTGTTTTGTGTGCTGTGTAGTTCACAATGTGGGGATTTTTTTTTTTTTTCCGAATGTGAAAGCAACTGTTGAAAGCTGTAACAACTTCTGAAACACTGGAGAAAAAAAAAATTCTTTTGTGAAATAAATGATGTAATGACAAGTGTGTTTGATTTTTCTTTTAAACCACACACATCACAGTTTAAATCACTAATGAATACAGTTCTCTCTCACACAGGCTCCGCTCTTCCACTGGACTCTATGGGTGGGTCCAGTGTCCCAAGGAGGTGGTGTCTTCACACCATTTGAAAGTTATGAAGCTGGCATTAAATTTCAGCAGCAAGAGTGGCATACATCACCATGACCACAAGACCCATACAAACACAAACAATTTGAGGGAGATTAAGGCAGAACCAATGAATTACTTTCAGGCTTGCATAAAATCATACTGTGAATTTTACTGTCCTTGTTTACTATTATTTGTCAGCTAGGAAATCTTCCATGGCTTTGCCCTGTAGACCAAAGTTGTTGTTTGACAGCTTACAGTTACATGGTTGCTGCCACTGGCTGACAGATTACACTCAAAGCAGATCCATTCTTTGTTGAAATGGTTCAATATTGTACCTCTACTTTTATTAGCACATGTAGAGCCTCCTCTCTACAGGCCCTGTCCTTCCTACATCGCCCACTGAAGAAAGTGTTGTAGGATAGTGGGCAGATTTGTGTTACTGCTTCATGTACTGTGGGGTCTTCAGGTACTCAGGTAGGCACGTCCTGATTGACTGGCTATATTTATGTAAATTTCAGTGTGTGTATGAGCGCTTATGATTGGAAGAGAGTATTACCCACGTGGTGCTTCTCAAAGTCAAATAAGGATCCTTTAAGGACTGAATTTCAGGAGGCTACGTCAGGACTGAGTCCTTCTTTCATACCTCATGCATGAGGTATCCTCAATTCTTTGCACAACGATTTGCCAGAATTGAAGGCGGGGCCCCTTCCTGATGAACAGATGGGCACTTGCTAGTATATTCAAATTTGTGTTCACTGAATGCAAGGAAGGAGTCCTGCTTAGTGTCTATAGGACGCAACTTGGAAGGACCTGTCCTACCAAGGAAGCATCCTTGACTTTTGTCTTTCGTTCCAAATCGCACAGTTTTTCCTTTTTTACTTGTAGTAGGTCCTGCAGCTGCCTATAAAAATACATATTGTTGCATGCAGTATGCACACAATAAGGACACACTACTTTCTCATAACATTACGCCCTGAACTTTGACCCTCTTGCTTATATACACTGCCTGGCCAAAAAAAAAGTCGCCACCTGGATTTAACTAAGCAAATAGGTACAAGCCTCCTATTGGATAATTACTGCATGGGCGATTATCTTTCAGCTGGCAACAAGTTATTTAACCCCAACTGGTGCAATGAGTTGCTTCTCATTTCCTAAACAACCATGTTGAAAGACACATCCCGTGGTCGTGGAAAAGATGTTAGTCTGTTTGAGAAGGGTCAAATCATTGGCATGCATCAAGCAGAGAAAACATCTAAGGAGATTGCAGAAACTACTAAAATTGGGTTAAGAACTGTCCAACGCATTATTAAAAACTGGAAGGTTAGTGGGGACCCATCGTCTTCGAGGAAGAAATGTGGCCGGAAAAAAATCCTCAATGATCGTGATCGGCGATCACTTAAACGTTTGGTGAGATCAAATTGAAGAAAAACAACAGTAGAACTCAGGGCTATGTTTAATAGTGAAAGTAAGAGCATTTCCACACACACAATGCGAAGGGAACTCAAGGGATTGGGACTGAACAGCTGTGTAGCCTTAAGAAAACCACTAATCAGTGAGGCTAACCGGAAAAAAAGGCTTCAATTTGCTAGGGAGCATAAAGATTGGACTCTGGAGCAATGGAAGAAGGTCATGTGGTCTGATGAGTCCAGATTTACCCTGTTCCAGAGTGATGGGCGCATCAGGGTAAGAAGAGAGGCAGATGAAGTGATGCACCCATCATGCCTAGTGCCTACTGTACAAGCCTGTGGGGGCAGTGTTATGATCTGGGGTTGCTGCAGTTGGTCAGGTCTAGGTTCAGCAACAGTATGTGCTCAAAGAATGAGGTCAGCTGACTACCTGAATATACTGAATGATCAGGTTATTCCATCAATGGATTTTTTCTTCCCTGATGGCACGGGCATATTCCAAAATGACAATGCCAGGATTCATCGGGCTCAAATTGTGAAAGACTGGTTCAGGGAGCATGAGACATCATTTTCACACATGGATTGGCCACCACAGAGTCCAGACCTTAACCCCATTGAGAATCTTTGGGATGTGCTGGAGAAGGCTTTGCGCAGCGGTCAGACAATCAATGCAAGATCTTGGTGAAAAATTAATGCAACACTGGATGGAAATAAATCTTGTGACATTGCAGAAGCTTATCGAAACAATGCCACAGCGAATGCGTGCCGTAATCAAAGCTAAAGGCGGTCCAACGAAATATTAGAGTGTATGACCTTTTTTTTTGGTGGTGACTTTTTTTTTGGCCAGGCAGTGTATCTGTTACCTTGAAGATAAACCAAACGCCACTTATCCAGTATGCCAGAGATGGAGATCAACCTACAGAGATCTGCTGTTGTTACTTTGCAATGTATGTAGTTTAAAGTTATACCTGCATAGATTGTAGATTCTAACATTTTATTTGCGACAGTGAAATTACATCTGCAGTTCTCTGTCACTGTTATTTTTACAGTTCTGTCCTTTTGTTGTTTGGGATATTTATGATTATTTTGTTCACTTAAAAAAATTAATATTCCTATCATTACTATTCCACTGGTCATCAGTTACTTGAATGCACCGTCATCCATCATTGTGACTTCTGAAAGATATCAATCAGCTGTCATGCTGTCATCTGATTGCGGCTCAGTCAATGTGACGAATCTTCCTCTGTGCAGAGGATTGTGGGTCAGAATAGCCAAAAAAGCACACTGCAAAATCAGACTGGATGTAGTAGAACATCCTGGTATTTTTGGCAGACTTAATTTGACATACTATGTATTTGGACATTATAAATATTTTTCTGGCATACTATATGGTATG